CATATTTTATGAAATAACAATGTCATCCGTTTATATTTTAAATATGTCATACAACCATTATTTTTCTTTTTTCTATTTAACGAAACCCATTAAAATTTTCATAGAAAAAATTTATCCACAAATGTCCAGAATGATTTATCGAATTTGTAAAAAATTGAAACATTTAAGTTTAATCTTATACGTAAAATTCCAAATATATAATTTTAAAAATATATGTACATCTATATACACATAATTAAGATACACATAAACATACTTATATCACACTTCGCTCGTTATCTTCGAACGAAATTGCAAATCTTTGCATGTCAATTTTGATTACCGTTTTTTTATTTTTATTAAAACTCTTTCTCCTTTTCTACATTCCATATTTCTTCTTCACACCTTTTCACATCTTTCTCCATTTATCTTCGTTTCTCTGACTTTCTCTCTCTCTCCCTCTCTCTCTCTCTCTCTCTCTCTCTTTCTTTCTTTCTCTATTTATCTTTGTCTGCCCTTCTGTATCTGTCTCTCTCTTTTCTTTCTCTTTTCTTTCTCTCTTCTTTCTTTCTTCTTTCTTTCTTCTTTCCTTCTCTTTCTTATATTTATAATCTCGACTCCCCTCACGTTACATATAAAAAAAACAAGCTCACTTCGTAAAACGTATCACGACCCCCCACTATTCGACTTCTATATGCATTGCATACGAACTCGTATATCTAATTGTATCACTTGCCAAAGAAAATCAATTTTTATTCTATACGTTTTTTTATTCCACACCTCGTACATGCATATATATACTGATAGATTTGATATAAACTCGTGAAAACGCACTCGTTTAATTTTTCAATTTATTTTTCTTCAATAGCAGAATCGTCAAATATTTGCAATAATTTATAATAACAATAATAATCATCAGTATCATCGCACCATCGTTGTCATTATTATTATTATTATTGTTATTTTTATCACTATTATTACGATCATAAAAATCACCTTTTATTTTTGTGTTTCTCGCATGATTTTGAACCTCTTTTTAATGATTCTCTCTCTCTCTCTCTCTCTCTCACTCTCTCTCTCTCTCTCTCCTCTATAAATAAATATATATACAGAAAAATTCGAAACTATTTTTATAAATATCGAAATTGGGAACGAATATTCATGCAAGATCTGTGCATTTCTATATATTTGTTCTAAATACATATAGTGAGCTCTATTTTTAACTTTAACTCTAATTCTCTCTCTCTTTTTTCTCTTTCTTTCCTTTTTTCCTTCTCTATCTCTTTCTCTCTCTCTCTATTTTTCTACTTCTAATCATGAATATATTCTCAACACTTTATCCCACATTTATCTCAAACAAACTTGTCTTTCTACCATACCCACTACTCTTTATTGTTATTATAATTATTATAATTATTATTATTATTATTATTATTAATATTATTATTATTATTATTATTATTATTACTATTATTACTATTACAGTAGACTCCTGTATAACACGAATTCCTGTAACGCAAAACATTAATCGCTTTATACGAAAATCTAATTTATTATTACTATTAATATTGTTATGTTATTTATATATTATATATTATTATATCTTCGAACGATATTATTTTCGAGGGTTTAGTTTTTTATAGGAAAAGTCTGACAAATCGTCGAGTTCGTCCACTGCGCGACGGCCTCGTGGATATCGAGTGACATCAACGCGTGGCTCGAAGCATGTCCGAACGATTGAAAAATAATGTTTTAATTTTTTTATCGTTTTCGCATTTTGTTTTTCTTAATTAGAATCAATATCATACGCTACGTTAAATAAATTATTTTTTATTATAGTGCTGTTACTCGAAACAAAATAAAACCCAAAAGAGCAAATATTTAAAATACCAGATTGAAACGATGAATAAATAAATAAATCAAAGGAAAACTAAAAATCAAAGATTTATCACAATGTTCTTGAGCTCCTACGATCGATCACTGAATTCGAGAAAATAAGAGAGTGGGAAAACAAACGAAAATATAGGCAAGAATCAAATGAACATGCTTTCTCTCTTCCACACTCCATTCCTTTTCTCTTTCTCTCTCTCTCTCTCTCTCTCTCTTTCTCTCTCTTTCTCTCTCTTTCCCTCTCTCCATTTCTCTATCTCTAATTTCTCTCACTCACGTTCGAGTATCGATCACCCCATTCACTTATCTATTTACCTATCTATCCATCTGTCTATCTATCTATCTATCTATCTATCTATCTATCTATCTATCTATCTATCTATCTATCTATCTATCTATCTATCTATCTATCTATCTATC